CTTACGAAGAGTGTTGAGAATCGTTTGCACTTACTGCAAAGATTATTCAGATTTCATATGTCCAGAGGCACCTCGCTTGTGGCTCATGTGAACAACTACACTAAGTTGTTGTCGGACTTAGCGAACGTGGATGAGAAGATCACGGATGAGTACAAGGCTATTATTCTTTTGGGCCCCTTACCGGATGAGGAGTATGATACCTTCGTGCTTACTTTATTGATGGGAGATCTTCTATCACTTATAGTGAAGTGACTAATGCTTTAACGAACTATGATTTGAGGAGGAATGATAAGGAGACTTCCTACACTAGTACTTCAGGAGAGCCCTTATCGACAAGAAGTAAAAGCCCATATCCGAAAGGTGGAAATAGAGGAAGGTCAAAGTCAAGAGGTCATCACCAGCTAGAAAAGAACCAATATGCATTCTACAAGGAATAAGGGCATTGGAAAAGAGATTGTCCAAAGGTCAAAAAGAAGGAGAATAGCAAGAAAAATGGTCGAATGCCAATGGAGTGAATGTTGCAAAAAGCGATGATTCTGATGATTCGAGCTTTTTTCTTTTGATTACTCCGGAGGTGAACCATTTGGATGCATCGGATTGGATGCTTGATTCTGATGCTACTTATCATGTGACTCCTAGGTGAGATTGGTTTGCATCATTTGAGAGACTTGATGGGGGGTGTTGTTATCATGGGAAATGATCAATCCTGTGGCATTTGTGATATAGGTACCATGCGGATTCGGATGCAAGATGGGGTAGTCCGCAAATTGAAGGAGGTGAGATTCATTCCTGAAGAAGAATCTTATTTCTGTTGGAGCTTTGGAGGCGAAGGGATTTAATGTGACATTTGAGGACGCTGTAGCAAAGGTTACTAAGAGATCTTTAGTGGTGATGACGGGAGTCCACAGTCGAAACTTATATAATCTGAAGGGGAGACTGAGGTTGTCCATGTTGCTTCAACTATTTCAGGGGCGGACATGAGCAGACTTTGGCACTACAGGTTAGGGCATACAGGAGAGAAATCACTACAGGCTTTGTGCAAGCAGGGGCTATTAAAAGGAGCTAAGAGTGGAAAAGTAGATTTCTGTGAGCACTGTATTCTTGGCAAGAAAACGAAGGTGAAGTTCAAGACTGCTATTCATAGGACGAGGGGCATCCTGGACTACGTGCACACAGATGTTAGGGTCCCACCAAGATGGCATCACTTGGTGGTCGACATTAGTTCGTCGCGTTTGTTAATGACTATTCTAGACGTTGTTGGGTGTACACCATCAAGCATATGTATGAAGTCCTAGATTTGTTTGTGGAGTGGAAGAAGATATTAGAACTGCAGACTGTGAGAATGATCAAGACGTTGCGATCCGATAACGGCGGCGAGTACACTTCAGACCCCTTTCAGCAGCTATGTCGAGATGAGGGCATAGAAAGATACTTCACAGTTAGTCATACACCACAGCAAAATGGGGTGGCAGAGAGGCTGAATCGGTCTTTGCTGGAGAACGTCCGATGCTTATTGGCGCAGAGTGGTTTGGAGAAGATCTTTTGGGCTGAGGCACTTACATATGCGAGCCACCTTATTAATAGACCACCTTCATCTGCGATTGAGGAGAGGACCCCTATGGAGATGTGGTCGGGAGAGACAATATATGATTATGACCAACTCAAGGTATTTGGTTGCCCTGCATATTATCATGTTAGAACAAATAAATTGGAACCTCGAGCTAGGAAGACCATATTTGTAGGATTCAAGTGTGGTGTCAAGAGATACAAGCTATAGGATCTAGTTAATAAGAAGATTGTGCTGAGTAGGGACGTCACATTCGATGATGCTTCTATCTTGAAGCGCCAGCTCTCATCAGGTGGAGAGCGACCCGACAGAGAAGATATCATAGGTGGTGAAGATCGATGCAGCTCCACAGTATCCAGATGGTACAATATCCATTAGAGTGCCGACTGAGGTGACGCCAGGCGAGCACGACGATAACACAAAGGTTACGTGTACTGATGTGCAAGATCAGGGACCGACGGTTCAGGCTCAGAATTCTATTACGGTTCGGAGAAAGAGGAGAGACATACGTGTGCCAACACGGTATGCCGACACAGTTACACATGTACTTCTGGTGGAGAGTATCGATGAGATGATACTTACTACTTTTAGAGAGGTCGAGCAGAGTTCAGAGACTGATTCGTGGCAGGTAGCTATGCAGGAGTAGATGGAGTCTCTTCATAAGAATGGTACATGGAAGCTTGTTAAGCTTTCAAAGTGGCAGAAGGCGATTGGTTGCAAGTAGGTATATACGAAGAAGGAGGGTATTGAGGGCACTCCATTGAGGTTCAAAGCTAGGTTGGTTGTGAAGGGCTATGCACAGGAGGAAGGTATTGACTATAATGAGGTTTTCTCTCCGGTGGTGAAACACTCTTCTATTCGGATTTTGCTAGCTTTGGTGGCACAGTATGGATTAGAGTTAGATCAGTTGGATGTGAAGACTGTATTTTTTCATGGTGATCTTGATGAAGAAATATATATGACTCAACCATTGGGATTCCGAGCTGCAGGGAAATATAAGTTGGTTTGCAGGTTAAAGAAATCGATATACGGATTGAAGCAGTCTTCTTGACAGTAGTATAGGCGGTTTGATGGTTTTATGTTTGGTCATTCGTACACTCGGAGCCAGTTTGATCCTTGCATGTATTTTCGCAAGTTGAGAGGAGGTGTCTATATTTATTTATTGCTTTATGTCGATGACATGTTGGTTGCCTCTATTTTCAGGTCGGCTATAGATGAGTTGAAAGTTCAGCTTTCAAATGAGTTTGAGATGATGGACTTAGGTGCGGCGAAGCGCATTTTAGGGATGGAGATTGGCAGAGACAAGAAGAAGGACAGAATTTATTTGACACAGATGGTTTTTTTGAAGAAGATTTTATAGCGATTTTATGTTTGCATGGATACGAAACCAGTTAGTATACCATTATGAGATCATTTGAAGCTTTCAGCTTGTCTTTCACCAAAGTCAGTTGAAGATCGAGAGTTGATATCGAAGACTCCATATGTGAGCACTGTTGGGAGCTTGATGTACACGATGGTATGTACGAGGCCGGATTTGTCACAGGCGGTGAGTATGGTTTCGAGATACATTCACGATCCAGGAGTGAGTTATTGGGACGCCGTGAGATGGATTTTGAGGTACATTAGAGGTACGCTCAATGTTGGTTTGGTTTATGAGTGGGATACTATAGGTGGGCAGCTATGCATTGGCTATGTTGATTCGGATTATGCCGAGGATTTGGATAAGCATCGGTCTACGACGGAGTATGTGTTCACTATGACCCGTGGATCAGTGTGTTGAAGATGCACCTTACAGTCAACGGTGGTTTTGTCTACGACAGAGGCAGAGTATATGGTGATTACGGAGGCTGTGAAGGAGGCTATTTGGCTTCGGGGACTTTTGGAGAAACTTGGTATATCGTAGCGGTCCGTCACCATTCATTGTGATAGCATGAATGCTATCTATTTGGCGAAGAATCAGGTTTTTCATGCGAGGACGATGCACATTGATGTTCGTTATCATTTCGTTTGGGATGTTCTTGAAGATGGCGATGTGGAGATTGTGAAAGTCCACACGAAGGATAATCCGGCGGATATGCTCACTAAAGTGGTTCCGAGCAATAAGTTTGATTATTGTCGAAACTTGTTGCACATTCGTGATTGTTGAGGCCATTGGCGGCCATTGGGATGAACTACGGGCGGCTTGATCCATTGGGAGAGGGGGTACATAGGCAACCATGTTGGTGAAGTCGTGTTTGGAGAGATGACGCATTGGTGCTCTTTATTTGTTGTCGGCTCAGTTTTGGCAAAATTTCTCCGAGGTGGAGAATTGTTGAGAAAATCAGAAAAAATCAGTTTTTCTCGTTTTTCAGTCCGTGAGTCGACTCATACATGCACATGAGTCGACTCATCAGGTTGAGTCGACTCATGCCTGTCATGAGTCGACTCACGAAACCCAGCCGTTTTGTATGAAGTTTCTGACGAGTCGACTCACCTCAGTTATGAGTCGACTCACTTGGCATGAGTCGACTCATGCCCGTCATGAGTCGACTCATCAACGGTTTCCTGGTTCGTTTGAGTTTCTGTTTGGATATAAATAGAGACACGATTTTCTAGGGTTCAAAATAGAAAAGATATAAGAGATTTGAGCATTGTGAGAGGGAGATATTGTGAGCAAGTTGAGAGTTTTGGTTGAGGGTTAGTTGGAGTAATTTTGTGTGATTGTAACCATTTTGTACTCTCCTTGATTTAGTGGAATCTCCTCATCCTCTCCCCGTGGACGTAGGCAAATTGCCGAACTACGTATATCTCTGTGTTTGGTTTGGATTTGTTGTATTTGGATTGGATTGTGCTTGTGTGTGGTTCTCTTCTTCTCAGTGATCTCAGACTCGTTCGGTATGCGCGTGCACGCTTCCGCATAGGTGCGCGACATTGATGATCAGGTTCACAACATTTAAGTCCTTGAAACTTTGGTTCTTCGTTAATGTCAAACATGGTAGGGATGTTAATCCGTGTTGGACTTATCTTATCCCTTATGACCATTGATCTTTGGTTCTTGGAAAATGAGAATAGGATTTAGTGTTTAGGTGGGAGTAGAAATAAATGTTTGTATTTGACTTTTTAAAGGTTTTCTATTTATAAATATTAACCGAATCGTTTATGGTTATGTATCTCAAATATCCTTATATCAATAAAATACATGTATATGGATATTCCATATCCTGAATTGGAAATGTTTCTCAGAGTAACTGCAAGTGTTGGAATAAGAACCAACATGTGTAAATAATGTAGTGATTAAACTTTGTCTATATGTGGATTGACATTCTGTTGTGCTTTGATAGCCGATCTTATTTGGAATGTGAAAAGATTTGATGATATGATGTTGATGGTGTGGACAAGTACAACAACTAGAGGCTCTTGATTATTATAATATCTTTTGCATTTGCCATTACAGATGCCAGCAAAAATGGTGTTTCACATGAAGCGATTAACTGTTGCGCGCAGCGGAAATTTCGGCAGCACTTTGGCAGTACAACATGAGAGTCAGATCACAATAAGAATTCCCGTCTCACCAAAGAAACAAGAATATGAAGCAAAATATCTCAACCAAGTGAGATATCAGCTCTTCCTCTCATCAGTTCTAGGACTGACCTGTCGAGGGAACCTAAAAGCTATTACAAATCACACAAATAACGAGACAACCAATTTTACGTGGTTCGGCAAATAGCCTACGTCCACGGGACAAGGAGGGGGGAGATCTACTAATAGAGGGAGAGATTACAACTAAGGTTTACAATCACTCACAACCTAAACCCTCAAACAAACTCTCAGATCCCTCACAATATCTCTCTACAAAAGGACAAAAGCCTGCACTTTTTCTTCTTGTTGTAGCCAAAAGAGAATAGCCGAAAAACAATTCATTGCACAGCAAACTTCTGCAGCCGCAAATCTCCTCGCACTGCTCCCTGTACTTCTCCTTTGCATGTCTCCTTGTCCCTTGCTGCGATTTTCTGCCGCAGCCGCAAAAGACCAAACAAATCCTTGCACACAGTAAAACCCTAGGGTGCAAGCACCTATTTATAGGCTATGAATAGCAGCCCAAAATCCGAACTCGGTCTCACGCGGAAAGGCCCATGAACTCCACGAACTCACTCAACGAACTCACGTGTGGGAAACAGAGCATGGGTGGCCCCCACACCCACGTGATCATAATTCTCCACCTCGGCGAAGTTTTCCCAAAACTGAGCCGACACCAAAGCATCCAAATGTCCCACTTGTTATGACCAGTACGAACTCAATCCACAACAAGTCGAGAACCAGAACAAGAGTCCAAACAATCTCACCCCCATCAACAAATCCAAACCGGCTGCATCTAAAAGACTGCCTACGTATCCTCTTGCCCAAGGAATCAAACCGAACGTAGTTCACCCAAATAGCCGTCAACGGCCTCAACAATCACGAATATGCAACAAGTTTCGACAATGATCAAACTTGTTGCTCGGAACCACCTTAGTGAGCATATCCACCGGATTATCCTTTGTGTGGACTTTCACAATCTCCACATCGCCATCTTCAAGAACATCCCGAACGAAGTGATAATGAACGTCAATGTGCTTCGTCCGCGCATGAAAAACCTGATTCTTTGCCAAATAGATAGTACTCATGCTATCACAATGAATAGTGATGGACCTCTGTGATATACCAAGTTCCTCCAAAAGTCCTCGAAGCCAAATAGCCTCCTTCACAGCCTCCGTAACCGCCATATACTCTGCCTCCGTCGTAGACAAAGCCACCGTCGACTGTAAGGTGCATCTCCAACACACCGACGCACAGGTCAAAGTAAACACATGCCCCGTAGTAGACCGGCGCTTATCCAAATCACCGGCATAATCCGAATCAGCATAACCAATGCATAACTGCCCACCTGTAGTGTCCCGCTCATAAACCAAACCAACATTAAGCGTACCTCGAATATACCTCAAAATCCATCTCACGGCGTCCCAATGACCCACTCCTGGATCGTGCATGTATCTCGAAACCATGCTCACCGCCTGTGACAAATCTGGTCTCGTACATACCATCGCGTACATCAAGCTCCCAACCGCGCTCGCATATGGAGTCTTCGACATCAAATCTCGATCTTCAACTGACTTTAGTGAAAGACCAGCTAAGAGCTTCAAATGGGCTCCCAAAAGTACACCAACTGGCTTCGTATCTATGCTAACATGGAATCACTATAGAACCTTCTTCAAATAAGCCACCTGTGTTAAATAAATTCTGCCCTTCTTCTTGTCTCTTCTGTCTCTGTCGATCTCCATCCCTAAAATGTGCTTCGCCTCGCCCAAGTCCTTCATCTCAAACTCATTTGAAAGCTGAACTTTCAACTCATCTATAGCCGACCTGGAAATAGAGGCAACCAACATGTCATCGACATAAAGTAACAAATAGATGTACGCACCTCCTTTCAACTTGCTAAAATATACTCAAGGATCAAACTGACTCTGAGTGTATGAATGATCAATCATAAAACCATCGAAACGCCTATACCATTGTCGAGGAGACTGTTTCAAACCGTATAGCGATTTCTTTAATCTGCAAACTAATTTTTCCTTCCCTGCAGCTCGGAATCCTAATGGCTGAGTCATATATATTTCTTCATCAAGATCACCATGAAGAAATATCGTCTTCACATCCAACTGATCTAACTCCAAACCATACTGTGCCACCAAAGCTAGCAAAATCCGAATCGAAGAGTGCTTCACCACTGAAGAGAAAACCTTATTATAGTCAATACCTTCCTCCTGTGCATAGCCCTTAGCAACTAACCTAGCTTTGAACCTCAATGGAGTGCCCTCAATGTCCTCCTTTTTCGTGTATACCCACTTACAACCAATTGCCTTCCGCCCATTTGGAAGCTCAACAAGCTCCCATGTATCGTTCTTATGAAGAGATTCCATCTCCTCCTGCATAGCCACCTACCACGAATCAGCCTCCGAACTCTGCTTGGCCTCTCTGAATGTAGTAGGCACCAACTCATCGATACTCTCCACTGGAAGTGCATACGCAAATGTATCGGCATACCATGCTGGCATCTGTATATTTCTCCTTTGTCTCCGAACCGTAATAGAATCATGAACCTGAGCCGTCGGTCCCTGATCCTGCATAACTGTACTGTAGGCTGTCTAAAAATCACAATGAATAGCTGACCCCTATCAAACTCCGACAAGGGAAGTCACAATCAGACGACTTTCTAATCACTGCATCCGCAACTCCACAATCGCCACAAACACGACCTCATTTTTGAGATGATTGATCTTGATGGCTGCGACAACAGCACGACTAATATTATATTAGCAATTATTGGAGATGCTGATGAGCAGTGTAATGATTTTAGAAATGAAAGGTTGGACTTAGTTGGTGAGTTGCTTGGTAGAGAGCTGTGGGCAAATATCCATCTAAAGACACTATGGATGTTGATTCCCGCCAAGTTCCTACAACGAAAGCTACAATCAAATAGCTTTCGCGCCGACAATCAAAAGTTGGTGAGTTGCTTGGTAGAGAGTTGTGGGCAAATATTCATTTTCAAAACACTATGGATGTTGATTCCCGTCAAGCTCTCACAATGAAAGCTACAATCAAATAGCTTTCGGGTCGACAATCGAAAGCGGCAAATAGAGGACTTTTCACATAGATCGAGAAGAGTTACAATTCAACGACACTTCCGACAACTGATGAAAACTCTATTCAGCAGTCTTCACAATATACGGTGAAAGTTACAATCTGACGACTTTCATACCCTACAACAGCTAAAGCCAGGATTACTGAACAACGGTCCTCGCAACGCTTCACAGAAGAAGTTACAAGTCAAAAAGCTCCTTCTGAAACGCGGATGTCATCCCCGCGTTACAACTAACCGACCCCCGCATTTCCAAGCAGGCAACAAGCCAAAATGCGAGCGACCCTCGCGTTCAATGATGTTCAGCTAACACCCAACCTCGCGTCTCAATTCTAAGAGGCGAAGTTGGGTGCTAAACGCCAGATTGGGCGTTTGACTCGTTCAAACATGAGTCGAACGGTTTCAGAACCGTTTATCCCACGTTCTGAGGGATTTTCGCCCACGTAAGAGCGAATATAGGGGTCAGTTACAACCTCCTATCCCCCTATAAAAGCTCAACAAACCCAACAGAGCAAAGGGTTGGATTTTTGGCATCTGAACCACACAGGTTGGATTCTAAAGATCTAAACCGTACAGGTTGGAGATTTGTCAGTTCTAAAACAGATAAGGGCTGGCGGCTGGCTCTTTGAAAAACAGAAGAGTTAGCAAAGATCGGATTTGGAAGATCTCAACCACTCAGGTTTGGCGATTCAACAGCAGCGAGATAGGATTTTTGAATCAAGTCCAGAAGATCAAAACCGAAAGGATTCTTCAACAACAGAATATTTGCTTGGTCATTAACCGAATTTTCGGTTCTAACAACTCTATTCACAGAGTTCTAACTCGTTCAGAGTTCTTTAAACTCATTCAGAGTTAAACATCAAACTTTCCACAGAAGTTCATCGTTCCCACGAGATAAGAGACGGTCGGATCGTCAACGGAGAGCAAATTCGACGCGAGCAATCGAAGGAGGCATTCCATCGCTACCGAGAAGAACCCAGTTTTAAACAAAGGAGAGAATCAAATTCGTTCTCTTCTCTTTTATAATCAAGTTGTAATCGGAATCAAAGAAATACAAGTCAATTTTCTTTATTCTTTTCATTGCAATTTTTCTAACATACAAAAGATGGCGACTCCGCTGGGGGACTAGCTTTTCCGACGAAGAAGTGGTGGCGCAGTCCGATGTCCACCTCATGGGAACGACAGTAGAAACTCTCGTCGTAGAGTTTGATCAAGCTAAGTACAAGGAAGCCTTATCCTTAGGGTCGCTTAGCCCCAAGGCTAAGCACGATGTCCGCGAGACCTCCAAGAAGGTCAATTCTGTTGTCGAAGTGCCGAAGAAAGCCCTCTCCTTCGGCCAAGAACTCAAACTGGCTCTGCTGGCGGAAGATCCCACATCCGCGTCAGCAAGACGTTCTTCAGGCCACAAACGGCCTCTGAAGGAAACGAGTTCCATAAGCGTCAACGACGCTGCTGTTAAGGCTTTGAAACAAGCCAAGAAGAACGCCGCTCGCCGACGGAGAAGATCCATACGACGAGCACATCTACGTGAAAGCCGACTGTTGGCCCAACGTGAAGATCGCGTTTCTGAAAATCTAACCGAGCCTAACGTTCCCAAAGGTGAACGCTCACTTCGCGGCAACGAGCCCAACTATGAGCCTCGGCTTATACAGCTCAAACGCGACCCTGAATGGCGCGTTGTTTCTTCAAAACGCAGCCCTCAGAGGGGAGCTGCCAAAACCAAACGCGACCCCCAGGGGCGCGTTCCAATAGAACATGACTCTCAGGAGTTTGTTTCACCAATTAAACGCGACCTTTAGGGGAGCGTTCAACATAAACGCGACCCTCAGGGGA